ATCAGAAAAGTATGTATTATGGAGAACTAGACATATCGCAGATTAAATACTTAAACTCGACACTCTAAAAACAAAGTAGAATCAACCTATTATTCAATTTATTGGTATGAAAAAATACAAAATGTCATTGTTTAAAATAAATAAGGTATATGGCCAATTCATTATGTATATTAATAAGTTCTGGCATTGTTCAACTAAAACAGTATATATCTCCACGGAAAAGATAAAATCATGTAAAAATTGACAAAATCGCACGAACAAATAGAGTTCATGCCAATTAAATCTTACTAATATCTATTAATCATGTTAATACCTTGAACCCTTTTTCCGTCCCCTAATCTCGAACATGTTGTGTTATTTTGTTCTGATTACACCATATGCCTTCAAAGAATAAAACTCAAATTATTGTATGCGTGTTTAAATACAGCACTCAGTAGTGCAAACTTTAAAATAAAACGGCCATTGTGTTGGTGTAATCGGGAATGTTGTCAATGCTCTAACTTTGAACTTTAACTTTTAACATTTTTGATTCGAGCGTGACTGATGAGTGTTTTGTTGATCTGTGATGAGCTGTTTTTTTTTATTTAAAAGTGAAGTGTGCATGTTGCATTGTTTTATAAAAGATCTATTGCAAATTGCCATTCCCTTAAAAAAACATTATTCGGAGGGTATTAATAAAATAAATCTGACCGCCACTATGTAGCCAAAAGTGTGGAAAGTGGTGTTAAACATCAACAATCAATCAATCAATCAATCGTTAACTCTAAAATCCACAAAATACAAAAAAAAAAATCATATATGCGAATGGCAACTATTGACGAGGTTTTTGACTTTACGGTTACAAACTATGGATTTTCTTCCGCATGTACAGTAAAGTGTTTTGTACCTTTTATCTGTTCTTTCCATCTCTTTTCTCAATTAAATTAAAGGAGAGGTTTACCGTTAAACTTCCTTTTCACAGCTGATTATGCATATTAATTATGTAAGTACTAGTCGAACTGAAAACAAACTTAATATACTAATGCTTATGAAAGGGATTAAAATTTATTATACTTCATGTCAAAATTCGGGATTCTGATTGGTTAATACGAGGGAGACAATTTACTCTATCCCATGGCAATACTCTATTACCCTTCACGGAGACGCTTGATCATGTGTGCGCTTTACTAAATAGGGATGATTGTTATGTACAAGACGTCATATTTTGAATGTGAAATTTAACAGACAGTAAAAACAGAACATTCAGTATAATAAAGTAAACAACACATAGCTGAAAGGGTGATAGAGCAGATTGTCACCCCTCGAAAAGACATTGTCAACCTTGGCTTCGCCGCGGTCAACAATGTTTTCTCGGGATAACAATCTGCTCTATCACCCTCTCAGCTATGTGCTATTTATATAATACTGCATAACCGGTACAAGATTTAAGTGTGGACTTTCTCAGAAAATACAAATGCATTTCGTAGTATAGTTTACCTTTGTGGTGTGTTTAATGCAATATAGCGCAGGCGGATACCTAGTTGAAATTAAATAAAAGAAATGAAACGCTTTTTTCGAAAAGGTAATAAAGGCCAAATTGGTAAATTTGATTTTTTACATCTGTTTCTATGGGCTTTAAAAGTTTAATGAAGGTGCATACTTTAGGATTTTATGCATCTTATATACGTGTTTTACTTAAATTATAGGAAGGAGCTTCGAGATATTTGTAAACGTTTGATCTACAGAAAATTTCCAGAAAACAGTCGATTGTGGTAGGTGCAAATGCATGTGGATTTTTTTGAGCAGGTGCAAATACATGTGGTTCTTTTTTTAGCATAAGGATAAATTCAGCTGCAAAAACTTCCACAGAAAGATAATAGGTTGATCTTTTAAAGCATTGATTTTCATCTCTGCCCCCCGGCGACAGTTTTTAGGGAAAAAATCCTAAAAATGGGCAATAATTTCATCAAAAAGAGAAAGTCGAGTACACCTTTTTATGTTCAGGCGTATTTGAGTTGACTTTTCTGTTTTGAAAACGCATAAAGCAGAAATATTTGATACATCATCTCGCTTCAGATTCTATTATTTTGTTTTACATATTTAGGCCATAACATTAAAAATACACAGTACATTTTGTACTAAAAAATGAAATATATGGTTGAAGTGAACTACCTTTCTAAAACGGAGTATGTGTGTTCGAATAACAATTTTTTTCTAAAAGTACTGGACGACAGACTTTACAAGTGGATCTTAAAAATGCATAACTTAAAAAAAACTTCATTTTTGTGTGTGTTATCTAGGGTTATTAGTCTTCAATCTCTAAAAATTTTTAGTCTGCCCATCCACGAAATATTTAACTAAATTTCTATGAATGTTTTTGAACTTTCGAAAATTCTCCCCTGACAACCGATCAGACACTAGTTTTAAGTTGACTTAATGCAGAAAAGTACATTAAATGATGCTCAATAGCTAGAAGATACATTTGTCTTTTAAAATACACAGGGCATATAAAGATCGTAATGGTGCTTTGTGCCGGTATACATTTATCGATTTTCAAGAGCTAAATTTGCAGCGCGTATTCCCTACAATGGCTTCCATTTTTACGATTGTAAAAATTAGCTGGTGTAATGGGGAGAGATAATTTTGACGAAGTAGAATTCTGACTGAGCAACTCCAAATTTTAAGACATGCACGGGCAGTTCATAGATATTAGTATCTGTATTTGTTTGATTTAGGAGTGCAAAACAAAACTAAAAAAATATATATAAAAGGGTAAAGAATGAGAATGATGGATTTTACGGCCACAAACCTAAATATATACATTTGATGAAATGACTAAAATATATTTAATAGTAAAAAAAAAAACCCGTTGGTCTCTCCACAAATCCAGCATACAAAGTTCCGACAACCCTAAATGTTTTAAACGTCTGATGGCATGTTCGACAAATAAACGACACTATAAAATTCTTTTTTTTTTTCATTTTCTTTTTTCCCTTCACGGTTTTTTTTCTCTCATTTGGTATATGGCGTAACAATTTGAGGACTTTATATCTTAATCGCTGAACTTTACATCTCCAGCGCTGGACTTTTAATCTCAAGCGCTGGACTTTACATATCCAGCGCTAGACTTTACATATCCAGCGCTAGACTTTATATCTACAGCACTGCACTTTATATATCCTGCGCTGGACTTTTTATATATCTACAAAATCGGAAAATGTTTTCAAATTATCCTCCTGACTCAAAGATAATAAAATCAACTTCTACTTAAGCTTCACGCCACACTTAACAATATCTCAGTTAAATCGTGGTGTCTTGTCTGTTTACTGGTCGAGGAAGCCATGATACCAAGAAAAGAAATACCGACCCTTCACCGAAACATAAAAAACACTTTGATTGAATAGTGCCCTCTTTAAAACTTAATTTGATAACCTCATCTGTACGAAATACTAACTGACGAAAGTCGATAGAAAAAAATGTGAGGGAAAATGTGAATTAGATTAAATTAACAAACTGACATTTCTAGATAAAATAAAGATAATATAATTAAATAGGACAAAATAACATGTCTCCTCTTGAAGGGGAAAAAATCTAACATTCGGATATTGGAATATTTTTCAAAAATGGTACTTCTATAATTCCGCTTTCAACACGACTCCAACAACAACCCGATTTGACCGATGACGAGGTTTCTTGAATCATAGTATACAAGAAAACATGGTTCAACATTTATATTGAATGAGCAGTTATGATGCATGGAAGTCGTCATCAACACGAGGAGAGAAACTTAAATAAGCATCGCTTAATTAATTTGTTAAACTGCATGAAGTTCGTTTTAAAGGTGTAAACTTTCCGTATTTTACACGATATACAATTTTGAAAATAGTTTATATTTTCGGTATGAAAAATTATATCGGGTTTTATGGGGGAAAATATTGACCAAATAGTCTAGTTTTTTTATTTAGAATGTAAAGCTACACACTTCTTTATTCTAGAAACATGAAGAAGATATGGAGATGTGGTATGATTGCCAAATATCCACCGGAGACCAAATAACGTAAATATTTGCAACTATAGGTTGCCATTCCACCTTCAACAAAGAATAATTACATTAGATGTATGTTTCATTATTATAGTATTACGTTAGTTTGATTGGCTAACAGCAATCTCGCGTCATTCTTCATTTCAAAATGAATTGCATGAATTGAAACATAGATGATGACACACGTTTCCACAATAAAGTGCACAGGTAAATAAAAGAAAAACTTGATAGTAATCGTGTTTTCATGATCATAGCGAAAAAATGTAATAATATTATAAGTATTGAATGCTTCTTTTAGTAATTTCATAGGATTGTAAAAGCGTTGACCGTGCGTACATTTTTAGAATGAAGCGCTTCCGCGCTTCATACAAAATGTACTTCGGTCAACGCTTTTACACCCCAATGAATTTACAAAAAGAAGCATTCAATTCTTAAACAAAACCCGTACCGAATTAAAAAGAAACAATTACAGGCCCGACATGAAAAGCACATCTTAAATAAATTTCAAATAAACGAACATTTGAAAAAAAGATTGATAAAGAGTAAAAAATATGAAAATCGGATTCGGATGTGATTTGACTGCAGTGGTTTTTTTTATTCATTTATTTTGTTTATTTTGCGGATTTTCCTTGTAGTCGTTTAACAAAATAGTAGGAAAAGGGAGAACAGTGATCTTAAACTTAATCGATCACTACTATGAAACAATGCAATTTTTTGGTAAACATATTAATATATATGAACAATACACAATGTTACACTACTGTCTCATGTAAGGGTGAAGGTTGGCGCCTGTTAAAACGTTTAAACCCGCTGCATTTTTATGCACCTGACCTCAGTCAGGAGCCTGTTGTTCAGTGGTTGTATTTTGTTGGTGTGGTTCATAGGTGTTTCTCGTTTTTTTTATATAGATATAGATTAGACCGTTGGTTTTCCCCTGTTTGAATTGTTTTTAAACTATTTTTTGAGATGGTCCCCACTATCAGCGCCATGCAGTGTCGTATTGACTTTTCTTACACGTCAATATTTTACTTTCCTAATCAAACGGCTAATATATGAAGGGATTTAAACGTTTAAACACGGCTTTTGATTGTCATTTTGTTCAGATAAACAACTCGTTGTCAAGCTTATTGACCCGTAAACTTAAGGTTAACTGACGCACAATTAAACTACGCTTGGTACGTAAACACAGGAAGAGAGGCATATATAACCATTTGAAACGTAAGTAATCTTTATTAGATTATATATGCCATTTCTAAGTTAAAATCGAAACCCGACAGCTCTGTTTTTTCCATTGCAAACAAGAAAACCATTTTAGTTTCTTAACTTTATAAAAAAAAAAAACACCACACTATATTGTTTCTGTAAAGAAAGTAGTAAATTTCCGGAAATAGGTCAGGGATTTTTTGAAAATGTTATTCTATTAATAGAATACAATGATTGTATTTATAGTTTATTTCTAAAATATATAAAATCAATCGAATGTATGCGTTTTTCGTAGAACATGGATAGATTAGCTCCTATTTAATTGAATAATAATTATATTCAGTAATATTTCGTTTGTTTATTGCTAAATATTAACGATCATTGTAATTTTCGTAAAATGACCTAGTATAATCAACAAAATCAAGTGATTGTTATCGGGTAGTTTTCCCTTACAGAACTGAAATGTTTGCAGCAGGTCTGCAGCAGACTTGCTGCAGGTTTGCTGCAAACAAAAAGCTTGCAGGAACCCTTTGAACAATGTTTGCAGAAGTTTGCAGCTAGCTGCGAACCTCCTGCAAACATTGCAGCTTTTTGCTGCAAGCTTGCGGTAAGTTTGCAGAAACAATTATGTTTGCAGTAAGATCGCAGGAAAAACTAGAATATAAGGGATGTTCGCAGCTAGATTGCAGAAATCTTTGACAATTCTATATGTTTGCAAGAGCATTGCAAGAATTACATAAAATGACTGAGCATGCCTATTGGTAACTTCCTGGAAGATAACGATTTGAAATTTGAAAATGTTGATAGCGTTTGAATCATGTAATAACTAAGTATTCAGGGAGCATTTTAGGTTGGAAATTAAAAGTTTAGTTCTTAAAGACAATATTTGTAAGTACAAATTCTTTGTAGAAGTGCAAACATACAAAATCGTCTCCTCCACAAATACCTGCATGAAGGTTTGAAAAACATTTTCAAACATGTTACACATATACAGCACTGTCAAGTATGTTTCGAGAGTATAACTTAATAGATATTATGTTTTTATAATTCAAGTTGAATTTTGTGACAATATTAATTAAACAGTTGTCTATATGCACACAATAAATTTAAAATAATTTGTTTTTTATACGACCGCAAAAAAATTTTTGTGGTCGTATATTGGTATGACGTTGGCGTCGTCGTCGTCGTCGTCGTCCGGCGTCGTCCGAAGACACATGCATTGGTTTTCGCACTCTAACTTTAGTTTAAGGGAATGGATCTCTATGAAATTTTACCACAAGGTCCAATACCACAAAAGGAAGGTTGGCATTGATTTTTGGGGGTTATGGTACCAACAGTAAAGGAATTAGGGGCCAAAAAGGGGCCAAAAAATAAGCATTTTTGTAACTTCCAGACATAACTGGTGTGTTAGTGTATGGATCTCTCTGACATTGTACCACAAGGTTCCATATCATAAAAGGAATGCTGGGATTGATTTTGGGGGTAATTGCCTCAAAATTTTAGGAATTAGGGGCCAAAAAAGGGGCAAAAAACAAGCATTTTTCTAGTTTCATGACAATAACTTGTGTGTAAGTGTATGGATCTTTCTGAAATTGTACTACAAGGTTCCATATCATAAAGGGAAAGCTGGAATTGAGTTTGGGGGTAATTGCCGAAACATTTAGGAATTGGGGGCCAAAAAGGGGCCAAAAAAAGCATTTTTCTAGTTTCCAGACAATAACTTGTGTTCAAGTGTATGGATCTCTCTGAAATTGTACTGCAAGGTACCATACCACAAAGGGAAGGCTGGGATTGATGATGGGGGTAATTGCCTCAATATTTTAGGAATTAGGGGCCAAAAAGGGGCAAAAAACAAGCATTTTTCTAGTTTCAGGACAATAACTTGTGTGTAAGTGTACGGATCTCTCTGAAATTGTACTGCAAGGTACCATACCACAAAGGGAAGGCTGGGATTGATGATGGGGGTAACTGCCTCAATATTTTAGGAATTTGGGGCCAAAAAGGGGCCAAAAAACACATTTTTTCTAGTTTCCAGACAATAACTTGTGTTCAAGTGTATGGATCTCTCTGAAATTGTACTGCAAGGTACCATACCACAACGGGAAGGCTGGGATTGAGTTTGGGGGTGATGAATCATAAGGGGGTTCAAAAAATTAGGGGGGGGATTTTTTTTTTTTCCTTTTTTTTTTTTTTTTTAAATTTTCCATTTTAAGTTGGTTATTTCTGATTTATATTTAAAAGCAAATAATAATGATATAGTAGGAGATACACACCAAACAGGATGTGTAAATTATTATATAATAAGTATTGTGCAATAGCAAGAAATTTTCAATTGCACAGTATTGCACAATAGCAAGAAATCTTCAATTGCACAGTATTGCGCAATAGCAAGAAATCTTCAATTGCACAGTATTGCGCAATAGCAAGAAATATCCAATAGCACAATATTGCGCAATAGCAAGAAATTGTCAATTGTACAGTATTGCGCAATAGCAAGAAATATTTAATTGCACAGCATTGTGCAAAAGAAGATACTTCGTATAAATTGCTTATTTCTTGACCAATTTCAATGGGGTTTTATTCTTGAATTCTTGGGGTTCTTTAATATGCTGAATCTAACCGTGTATTTAGTTTTTGGATTTTGAGCCTCGTTTTAAATTGGTCCACATTGAGGTCCAAAGGGTCCAAAATTAAACTTTGTTTGATTTCATCAAAAATTGAATTATTGGGGTTCTTTGATATGCCGAATCTAACCGTGTATTTAGATTCTTAATTTTTGGTTCCGTTTTCAAATTGGTCTACATTAAGGTCCAAAGGGTCCAAAATTAAACTTAGTTTGATTTTAACAAAAATTCAATTCTTAGGGTTCTTTGATATGCTGAATCTAAACATGTATTTAGATTTTTGATTATGGGCCAAGTTTTCAAGTTGGTCCAAATCGGGGTCCAAAATTAAACTTTGTTTGATTTCAACAAAAAATGAATATATGGGGTTCTTTGATATGCTGAATCTAACCATGTATTTAGATTTTTGATTTTTGGGCCCCGTTATCAACTTTGTCCACATTGAGGTCAAAAGGGTCCAAAATTAAACTTTGTTTGATTTCATCAAAAATTGAATTCTTGGGGTTCTTTGATATGCTGAATCTAACCATGTATTTAGATTTTGGATATTGGACCATAATAGGTGAATGTTCAATTTAAAATTTTTAAAATCTTAGACCACATTCATTCTGTGTCAGAAACCTATGCTGTGTCAAATATTTAATCACAATCCAAATGCAAAGCTGTATCAAGCTTGAATGTTGTCTCCATACTTGCCCCAACTGTTCAGGGTTCGACCTCTGCGGTCGTATCAAGCTGCGCCCTGCGGAGCATTTTATTGTATTTTTAAATAGATAGTCATGCATGCAATATCATTTGAGCATGCACGTACTTAAACATGTTAAACAACAAAAAAAACTTTAAATTAATTTAAAAAGGTCTAAACTTTTGCTATGCTAATTTTGAAAATGATAAAGTATTTGAATTATTGTATGAATGTAAGTGACCTAACTTTTTCAGCATTTGCTGTGTAATATATATAATGTGATGTGATGTGTATTATACACAACATGACATTGGTTAATTGTATAATGTATGTAGTTCCTGCAAGTTTGCAGCAAACACGCAGGAGAAAGATTTATTTGAAAATAAATGTTTGCCGCAGGTCTGCAGCAAACACGCAGCAGGTCTGCTGCAAACACGCAGGTGAAATAATAATTTGCATAAAAATGTTTGCTGCAGGTCTGCTGCAAACACTCATTTGCATATACATGTTTGCAGCAGGTCTGCAGCAAACACTCATTTGCATGGTAAATTGTTTGCAGCAGATCTGCAGCGTATTTGCAGCAAACATGCCGCAAATACAGACTCTGTGTTTGCTGCAAGTCTGCAGCAAGTTCGCTGCAGGCCTGAAGCAACTATTTGCAGGAGACCGATTTTTTCAGTAAGGGTTATAATTTCATTCTAAAATTCTTATTTGTCAATCTCGTTAGTGTGTATATAACCCTGTAAATATCGGTACGGGTTACATTAAAGTCTGTTGGTCTATAATCGATACTGTGGCTGCTTTAAACGCAAGACCGTATACAGTATATATATATACAAATTTATTCACAAGTGTACAGTTTGAGAGCTAAGGGAAGACTGCCCAAGCAACAGTTTACAAAAAACATACATTAATTCAAAGTTAAGGGCCTTAAAACATTACAAAAGGTTCTCATAAAATATATCTATTATTGTCCTCCGGCTAAACTTAGTAAAATAGCGATAATTGCTTCTTTTGTAGTTGAGTGTAAGATACATGTATTATCGTTCGGCGTTTTACGTTTCCGCAAATTGGCATTACTTTTCCGGGAAAAAAGGATGACGTTTCCGCAAGAAAAAGTCTACGTTTCCGGAAATAAATACCTCACTTTTCCGAGAAAATAGTAACGATTCCGGAAAAAATAAATTATTACTTTTTCGAGAAAAAATTAAGGAGTACCTTATCTAGACCCCTGCTGTTGTTTCAATCTTATCTACACAAACGAACGAAGTATAAATCAGTGGGTGGCCAGTTAAAGGAGTACCTTGAACTTTGTCCTAAATGAAACCTGCAACAACTGATTGTAGCAGCATGAAATTTTTGATAAAAGTGGAAGTAACGCAAACACAAGAGGAGTGTTGTTACCATTTTACACCCATGCATTGAATAATTAACTGTGCCATCTATGAAAATATTAGTTATTTCATTGCATAGACGATCATAGACATTTCAAGTTGGTGAAACATAAAAATATAACAATTCCAACATCATCATCTTTCACTATATCTAGTATATTGTGGATATAAGATCAGAACCTTTTTGTATAAAAATATGAAACAAATAATTTATCCAACATATATTCAAATATTAATAATTTACTGCCAGGTAAATTTCCGGAAAAGAAATAAATACAATTTCTGGAAACGTATACTTTAAGTTTCCGGAAA